TATGAATACAACTGAATATGTTAGCTCTGTCACTGATATTGAGAATATATATATATATATATATATATATATATATATATATATATATATATTTATGATAACATATAAAGAAATATAGTTTTATGGTATGCTTTATTTATGGGATAAGTGCTCAATATCAGAGATAGAGTGTATATAAATATAAAAGTGAACATTGTAGTCAATACTCAGAAGTGATAGACTGTTTCATGCTAAACGCAATCATGATAATATATATATTAAGGTAATGCTATATTTAGGGGTTAAAGTATCCAATTTTGTGGGTAGAGCGTACGTAAATATAAAAGTAGACATTGAAGTCAACACACAGAGGTGATAGTCTGTTTCATGCTTAAACGCAGTCATCATGCCAGACGTTTGCGTTTAAGCATGAAACAGTCTGGGGGTTGACTTCAATGTCCTCTTATATATTAGTAGAGAAATCCATATAGAAACTTTCTCTACTAATATAGTGAAAGTTTCTTAAATAATGTAGGTATAATATGCCGATGAAAGAAATTCAAAACGAAATAATAATAATATTTTTGTATTAATAATATACAATAAATATTATTATTATTATTATTATTATTATTATTATTATTATGTCTTTTCGAAGGTCTTTCAGTTGGACAAAAAATGTTAAAAATCGGAATTTTCTAATATGACTCTGTTCTTTCTCAACGAAAAATAAAATAAATTTGGGCTTTTGAAAGAAAAAAAGGGTCGTTTTACGCACGTGTAGATTTATTTATGTTTTTATATTAAGGGTTCTTGAACGTCAAATAATATCCATGAGTCATTTAATATAGCATAAATAAATCTACACTTGCGCAAAACGACCCTGAGAGGCATATCAGAAAATTCCGATTTTTAACATGTTTCTCAGGCTTCCATTTTGTTTAATGGCTTAATAATAATAATAATAATAATAATAATAGATATGATAATAATAATAATGATACCAAGACAAATACCAAGAAACAATAGACAAATACCAAGAAACAATAGACCATCTAATCTCAGGATGTTCTATACTTGCCCCAAATGAATATAAAAATCGTCACGATAGAGTGGGGCAATACTTACACTGGACAATGTGCAAACACTTTGGAAAATGTGTAAGCAAACACTGGTATGAACATCGGCCAGCGCCGGTTACAGAAATAGAAGATGTCACCATTCTATGGGATTATACCATCCACACAGACAGAAAAATTGAAGCAAATAGGCCGGACATCATTGTCAAAAACCAGAAAAAAAAAACTTGCCTACTAATTGATATGGCTTGTCCAGCGGATTGTAACATAGCAACCAAGGAATTTGAAAAACTATCAAAATACAAAGACCTGGAAATTGAAATAGAAAAATGTGGAAATTGAAAACAAGAATAATACCAGTGGTAATAGGTGCACTTGGAATTATAAAAATGGAACAAAACAACACATTGAAAGAATCCCTGAAACCCCAGCTTAAGAGACATACAGAAAATTGTCTTATTAAGTACAGCACACACACTAAGGAGAACTTTGTCTATGTAACGCTAGCAACTTCATCGGAGATAAAAAAAAAAAAAAAAAAAATTAACATGAAATGTGGCCATAACAACACACCACGACCTGCCTTAGGTCTTTCCGCAGACTTGGTAGGTAGTGTGTCCATAGCAGAAATCGAATGATGATGATGATAATAATAATAATGATAATAATAATAATGATAATAATAATGATGATGATGATAATGATGATAATAAATATGATAATAATAATGATGATGATAATGATGATAATAATAAATATGATAATAATAATAGTGATGATAATAATAATGATAAATAGAAAAATAAAAAAATCTAGAAATTGAAAACAAGAATAGTATCAACCATAGTAGGTGCGCTTGGAATGAATAAAAAAGGAACACAACAACACATTGAAAGAATCTCAGTAAATTCGAGCTTAGGAGAAATACAAAAAATATCTTGATAAGTACAGCTCACATATTAAAAAGAACTTTGTCCCGGTAACACTAGTGATGGGAGTTAGAAAAACAAATCAGGAAATGTAGCTATAACATCAAACCACTACCTGCCTTAGGTCTTCCCGCAGACTTGGTAGGTAGTGTGACCCTACCAGAAATCGAAATAGGATAATGATAAAGATGATGATGATGATGATGATGATGATGATGATGATGATGATGATAATAATAATAACAACCTAAGATCCCACACATTCTGGGAGGTGGTTCTTGCTGAGATTTTTCCTTGCCCCCCTCTTACATGCTGTGAATGTATTTGTTGTGCTTATCGAACAAAACCAAAATAAATGAAACTCTTTCTCGACTTGTTATTCTCTATTTTTGTTCTGCTACCTGAAATGTTTATTTATTCATTTGACGTAACTAAGTAAACCGAAGCAAAAAGCTACACGACCCACACTTCTTCACGTTACTTTTATTGCTTTTTAGTCCCACTTCACCAAGAAGAGGTGCTTTTAAGGAAATTCCGATAAAAAAAAACGATCTTTTTTGATCTTGAACCATAATTGTTCACATCAGAATCAATCATGCTGTTGACGTAGTTATGAACGCGCAGCTTGGATAGGGTTGGCATTGCATCGTGCGTTCAAGGGGTGCCATATTAAGATAGCCACGCCTGGAGACACTACAGAAATAATCAAGCATAAAAGATACAGAAAAGCTATCCAGACACAAATTACTTGTCAGATAAGCGAAGTAAGACCACACCTCTGACATTTTCGCTTGTACAGATTGCCCGTTACTGGATTACAACCAGCAAGACTGGTTTTTTATTTGGTACAAATAGATAATTATTGGCCATCGAGTTAGGATCGAATTCACAAGCCAAAAATTCCTTATTTATTTGTAAACCATCACTCTAGAGTAGTTTCGCAACCTTTTTACCTTTGTGCCACTCTTGAAATAGTTTTCATGCCTCATGGAACCCCAGAATAGAAATGATTACATAGCATTATTAATATCTATCTCTTTTATATTTTTTATCGTAGTTCTTCTATATAAAATGTGGACAACGTGCATGCGACCTATCCTCGAGTGAGTTACTTAATGGTACACGAATAAGTCATGTACAGATCATGTCCACTAATCAGGGAAGGCAGTTTCACAATGACGCCATATTGACATCGCTAAATACATTCCCTGTGATTATTATAATTTTAAATAATATAACAGGTTGAAATCTTTATCAAAATAACCAAGGACTGCAGAAAAGACAGAGGGAAGCCATGTCATGTCTGTAAGAAAGTGACTGAAGTCAAGATGCCAAGTCAGGACCGATTATATTGCAGATCATTCTTTGGATTTTGTCAAGAACCTTGAGATGAATAGCAGGAGCACCAGACTAGATATGGCAGCAGTATTCAATGCGCAGACGAATGGTAGAAAAGGTAAAATAATTGCATAATCGTTTGTTATGTAAGCGAACTCTTGGATACTTTCATTGCAGATGCTAAAAGACATCGTTTCAGTTCGATTAAAAGCAATTGTGAGTTTAGAACATCGTTTCTCAACCTTTTTATCTTTGTGTCAGCCTTGAAATAGGTTTTCATGCGTCATGGAACCCCAGCATAGAAATGATTACATAGCATTATTAATATCTATCTCTTGTATATTTTTTATCGTAGTTATTTTGGTAAAATAATATGTGGACAGGGTGCATACGACCTGTACTCGAGTGAGTTACTTAATGGTACACGAATAAGTCACGTACAGATCATGTCCACTAATCAGGAAAGGCAGTTTCACAATGACGCCCTATAGACATCGTTAAATACATTCCCTATGATTATTATAATTTTAGATAATATAACAGGTTGAAGCTTTTATCAGAATAACCAAGGAGTTTTCAACAATATTCCGTACGTGTATAGTAAAATTATGAAAATAAAATCAAATAAAAATGACTCAAAAATTCATTAACCTATTCACTGTTTCTCGCGGAACCCCTTGCGACCGCTTGTGGTGCCCTGGGGTTCTTGGACCACACAGGTTGAGAAAGATCCCTTTAGAGCATATTGATTCTATCGTAAATAAGGAGTTTCATATTGTTTTCATAATGAGAAAAAACTGTAAGCGACATTGTTGAAAATAGTGCTTTTGGCTACTTAGAGAGACAGATAAGTAGACAAATGTAAATAATAATAATAATAATAATAATAATTACCGGTTGCTCATTTCCGAGAACAACCATCTGCTTGGTCGGCTAGCCAACCCCTGTTGTAGACGCCTGTTCAGGCATATCTGTGTGTGTTCAACGCCCACAGAACCTTCATGTGTTTTAAACTGCAACTATGCCGGTTTGGTTGTTAAAAAAAGAGTAGGTCCCCAATGAGAGTCGAACACGCCCTTTGCCTTGGCATATCTGTTAAATGGGTGTATTTCGTGCATATTTAAGTTTTTTAATATGTAAAAGTGAATGCTGAACAATCTCCCTTGCAGATGAAGAAGAGACTTGAGGAAACTGAAATGCCTCTCTGCAGAAGGATGCTGAGAATCCCGTGGGTTGAACATGTGAGCAACGAGGAAGTTTTAGTGAAAATAGTACAAAAAAGGAATTTTCTATTTAGAATCAGAAAGAGACAATTTTAATTATCCATGTACATAATGAGGAAAGAGGGCTTGGAGAATTTGACATTGACAGGGCATATTGATGTAAGAGAGACAACGGGAGGCTGAGAATAACCTACTTAACGCGCTTGTATTAAAAGTGGGCAGAACAGGGATTAGGAGGGTTGGTGAAAAGACAAACCTTTATAAGAATAAAAAAAAGAGCGGGAAGTGGTGGAGAACCATAAACGCCCATGTCCTGAAGGGACACGGAACATAGAAGAAATAATTGTTTTAAAGTTGCAGCCAATTTAGTTCCTTATTTCACTCTCTTCAAATCTATCTTTCGTTTGTTCATAATTATCTGTTTCTTTTTTCCATTTAATTTGTTCATATCAATGTTTCTTTTCTTTTATCCTTTCTTTCTGCAATTTGTTCATATCCATCTATATTTCATATCTCTTTCCTTTTCTTTCTTCAATTTCTTCATATCCATCTATATTTCATATCTCTTTCCTTTTCTTTCTTCAATTTGTTCATATCCATCTATATTTCATATCTCTTTCCTTTTCTTTCTTCAATTTCTTCATATCCATCTATATTTCATATCTCTTTCCTTTTCTTTCTTCAATTTGGTCATATCCATCTATATTACATATCTCTTTCCTTTTCTTTCTTCAATTTGTTCATATCCATCTATATTTCATATCTCTTTCCTTTTCTTTCTTCAATTTCTTCATATCCATCTATATTTCATATCTCTTTCCTTTTCTTTCTTCAATTTGTTCATATCCATCTATATTTCATATCTCTTTCCTTTTCTTTCTTCAATTTGTTCATATCCATCTATATTTCATATCTCTTTCCTTTTCTTTCTTCAATTTGGTCATATCCATCTATATTACATATCTCTTTCCTTTTCTTTCTTCAATTTGTTCATATCCATCTATATTACATATCTCTTTCCTTTTCTTTCTTCAATTTGTTCATATCCATCTATATTTCATATCTCTTTCCTTTTCTTTCTTCAATTTGGTCATATCCATCTATATTTCATATCTCTTTCCTTTTCTTTCTTCAATTTTTTGATATTTATCTATGTTTCTTATCTTTTTGAGATTTTTTCTTTCGTTTTTTCATATTTATTGATGTTTCGTTTTTCTTTCATTTTCTTTCTTCAATCTCTTCATATATATTTCTTTTTTTCTTTCTTTTTCAATCTTTTTTCAGTTTGTTTCTGTCTATTTTTCTTTACTTTCTTTTTATCTACTTCTTTTTAATTTCTTTCTTCCGTTTATTCATATCTATGTTTGTTTTTTCTTTCTTCCATTTATTCATCTGTTTTACTTTTATTCTTCAGTTCATTCTTATCAAGCTGTTTGTCTTTCTTCATTCATATCTTTTCTTTTTTATTCTTCAATTTATTCATATTTATCTATCTAGTTACCTATTTATCTATAATTCTTTTTTTTTCTTTCTTCAGTTTGTTCGTATATATCTATGATGTGCTAATCAAAATATCTGGGATTCTGGACTACGTGAGACAACTGAATGTAGTACGGATCTTTGTCGCTACTCTTTGTGAACAGTATTCTATGTCAGCAGTATGTTTTCTGAGATTGCTGTATACATGATCAAGGTACACTATTTACATTGTTCGGACTATCGTCCTCACCTTTGTTGCCATATTTATCACAACGTTTCGGCTGTTGTACGCTCCGGCCTTTCTTCAAGTGGTTGGAATGTCGAACTGAACCCTTTATTTCGCTCGCTGGTGTAGACTGTTCTAGTTCCACGTGCCATGTCTAATGGATGTCAGTTATCAGTTATCTCCTGTTAATTTCCCTCCCCAAGTTCTCCACTGCCTTAACCAGTTATTGAACTCACACTCTTTGGGTCCTGTCACTAGATCTAACTAACGGGCGAAACGTTGTGATAAATATGGCAACAAAGATGAGGACAATAGTCCGAACAATGCAAATAGTGTACATAATACCTCATCTCAGAAATATAGACAGTTTATGATCAAGGTATCTACTTTAAAACAAACAGTCAAAAAATGTTTCGATTTTAGATTTAAGGGCAAGTAATCTTTCAGAGTCAAATCCCTGAAGTTTTTTAAAGCATTTCGCATTCATGTCGATGTGTCAGCTTATATCTATCTATCTATCTATCTATCTATCTATCTATCTATCTATCTATCTATCTAAGCTTATATGTTTCTATCTATGTATCTATGCAGCCACGTTTATAGGTATATATGCATCTATGCTTATATCTATAACTACTTATCTCTCTCTCTATATATATCTAACCCTGCTTATATATACCTCTCGATTTCTGCTTATATCTATGCTTACATCTATGCCACCTTATATCTATCTATACTTACATCTATGTCAGTTTATATCTATCTATTTATATCTATCTATCTATCTATCTATCTATCTATCTATCTATCTATCTATCTATCTATCTATGTTTGCATCTATGTTTAGATCTATCTATGTATGTACGCTTACATCTATCAATACATGCTTGCATCTATCTATCTAAACCTTTAATTTAAAGTCTTAACTCCCATAATATTCCCTACAGTAGCTCCAAAATAAGCCCTGCGTTGAGTATAAGTCGCAGATGTAACCTCTTTCTATTTATCAGATAAGAGATCCCAGTAGGAAAAGTTACTGTGCTCGCCGCATACAAGAGAAAATAGATAAGAAGCGAAAAATGGGGTGAACTATGTTTGCCTCAAGTTGAAACCAGTGCGTCATTATTCAGCCCACTGAATGTCTCCTTCGACCGTCGACAGAATTAGAATGGCAATGTCAGAAATCTCGATATTATCAGAAAAAATCCCTTCGCCGCGTCATCGGTAAAAAAAAATAAAAACCTCCAAAATTCTTGGACAAAATGTATGCCTACATCGTCATCATTATCACTATCTTCGTCATTCTGCACCATTTTGGTACTCTTTTGTAGTGCAGTCTTTAAATAAAGACACACAGACACTTAGACAGACACATACACACAGAGCTACACACACACACACACACACACACACACACACACACACACACACACACACATCCAACATCCTGGCAATCGATAGTCAGCCATCTTTCCATCCGGAAAAAAATAAAAATAAAATAAAAGCATTCTAGATTTCAGAAAGCACGTGACCAGATTACATGGCAACCAAAACATTTGTTATTCTTTGTTTTATATTTCTAAACAGCCTGTTTTTTGCCGACATATACAATTTGGAAAAAAATAACGAGCAAATAAATATGCAAATAGCTTAACGGTTATCGGCTCGAAAAGTCAAATTCCGGGCTTGTTTCTTTTTCGAACTAGTGCTCTTGGAAAAGGCACGAATTCGTCTCTTCTCCTTCCCTTCTTCAGCTATATGTTAAATAACAGGGTAGACTAAGCTCTATAGCTTTGAGTGGAAACCTAAGTAAGAGATTGAGTTTTTACGACTTATCAACCTTTTGCAGGTTATTTAAAGCCAGAAATTATTTTTAGTTTCTAAGAGTTTTTGGGAGATCATAATGCCTAAATGATACAAGTCCTATTAGTTAACCCATATCTGGAGGGGGAGGCGAATTCATACCCTTTCCCAAGAACATTTGCGCGGAAGTGAATATAACGAATCCGACTGGAATGGGAACTCGGCTCTCCGATTAAATATTTCGAGCCATTATCCATTACACCACCTGCACACCAAGTTTATAGCACCTGGTATTCCCAAACAATCACCCATCTAGTTACTGATCAGGCTCGTTGTTGCTTAATGTGATTGTAAGGGAATCGTTGTTTCGTCGTGTTATGGCCGTAAGCCCACCAGTCTAAGAGAAGGAGAATTATGAATTTCAAATCGCTGTGAAGAATAGGGGGAAAGTACTCGATTTTTTTTTAAAATGAATGGCAGTTCACAGATAATACAATAAAAGAATCCATTGAGAGTCATGACCGTCTATCGCCTAAGGAGCATGGCGTTTAAAAAAAAAAAAAAAAGCCTTAAATGTTAATACTTCTCAGGATTAAAGTGTTGCTTCCCGGCAATCTCTCTAGGATCAGAATAATATTTGTGCGTTTTGTGAAAAATGTTCCCAGCATGCAATATACCCATCGATTGTATCTCTGTTAAAAGGTTTAAGGGGGACACAAAATGTGAAGTAGAAAACGAAATCTTTGTAGAGTTAATATCGTCTGCATCCCATTAGCTATGAGCTAAATAGTAGGGTAGACGAGAGGAAAAAAATAGCTTTTTTCCTTTTCCTTCTTTACTTTCTCTTTTTGCTTTTCCTTTTCTTTATTCGTTTCTTTCCATTTTTCTTTTTCTTTTGTTATTGTTTTCTTTCTTTTTTCCTTCGCTTTTCTTGCTTTTTCCTTTTGCTTTTTCTCTTTTTTTTAATTACTACTCTTTGTCATTTTCCTTTTCGTTTTCCAAAGAGGAAAAACAAAATTTGAAACGGAAACAAGAAAAAAAGAAAAAAGAAAATCAAATGAAAAAAGAAAAGGCTAAGAAAAAACGAACATAAAAAAGTAAGAGAAAAATAAACGAAAAAGAAAGGAAAAGAAAAAGGAAAGAAAGAATGAAAAGAGAAGGAAAAGGAAGAGAAAAGAAGAAAAAAGGAAACGAAATGAATAAAGAAAAAGAAAAAATTGAAACGAAAAAAAGGAAATAAGAAAAAAATGAAATGAAAAAGTGAAGATAAAATGAAAATAAAAAAGTAAAAGAAAAAATAAAGTGAAGAAGAAAAAGAAAAAATGGAAAAAGAAAGAAAGAAAAAAGAAGGATAAAGAAAAAAGCAAAGGAAAAGAAAAACAAAAAGAAAAGGGAAAAGAAAAAGAGAATGACAGGAAAAAGAAAAGGAAACGAATAAAGAAACAGAAAAATTAAAAGAAAAATTAAAATAAAGAAAAAGAAATGAAAAGAATTAAAGAAAATGTAAATAAACATAAAAAAGAAAAGAAAAAATAAAGGAAAAAAGAAAATGGAAAAAGAAGAAAAAGGAAAATAAAATAAAAAAAGGAAAGGGTGATCAAAATAAAATTAGAAAGATAGATAAAAGAAAAAGAAAGAGAAGAGTGCGAAAAACCGTAAAAATTGCATTCATTTTCGTGTACGTGAGCATGTGTATATGCGTGTGTACGTGGAGATTTACTTTACATACGTTAGTTATGCAAAGGATCACAATAGAAGCCCCCCCCTCACCCATGAAGATCAAACAACACCAATAATGGTCTAGCAAGACGAACTTGCTCACCATAATTCTACAGCAGGCATTCTTCGTTTGTTTGTGAGAGCGTGAAAATAGATAATCAGGCACAAACTCGATCTGCCCAATGCAAATTAGCCACATTTTTGGTGATGGGGTTTTGCAGGAATGAAGTTTGAAGTTTTGACAGAGAGGAGAGCGTACAACCCAATCGTTAATCACCCATTCTGCCTGAATGTTACGACTGCTGCTAATGTTTTTATATCCCGAACCGTTTCTTTTTTTCCTTTTAAACCTCTGTCTTTCTTTTTTGTCTTGACTGCACATCTAATGATCGTCTGTTTCAAACATATTGACAATTGCTTCTATGCTTTCCTCTTTTTCATGTCATCCATCTCCAGACGACACCACTGACGTATAGCTCTTTCGGCTTGGCACGTCATCGAATCAGCAGACGACTGCTTGGCTAGATTAATCGTTCTGAGACGCGGACAGCGGCAAAGACATGTTACATGTTGCGTCAGATACTATAAAAAGTCGGATTTATTTCAGATTTCTAGCGTAGTACTCATAAAAAATGACGGGGCTATTTATCATCTGAGACAACCCACTCTGTCTTCCATCATCATGGCTGATGCTAACATCCAGAAAAGTGACTCGTTGCGCCTTCTCGGGCTAACGTTCTCAGCTGTCATGAGTTGGAAAGACCTTATTGAATCCATTCTAGGTTAGCTGTTAAGAAAGTCGGTTCACATTGTCGTGCGAGACAATTTTTCTCTCTAGAAACTATCTTACATATCTATAAGTCTACCATTCATTCATGCTTAGAGTATTACTGCCACATATGATCCGTTGGCCCTGTTATTTACCTTGAGCTCCTTGATAAAAATTCAAAGAAGAATCAGTAATATTATTGGTCCTGATCTGGCATCTCGGTTTCAGTCACTTTCCCATCACTGTAAAGTGGCTTCCCTTTGCCTTTTCTTTGAATACTTTCATAGTAATTGTTCGGATGAGCTTTTCTCTATGGTATCCAGACTTCATGAATTTAAGCGTAGAACTAGGCTGGCGTCAAGATCTCATCAATTGACAGTTGTGCTGGCTAGATGTATGTAGTGGTAAGTTCTATGCTAACTTTTTCTTTTCTCGCACTTCTCGTTTGTGGAACTTCCTTCTGGCTTCATGCTTTCCAGCCAACTTTAATCTGCAAAAATTTAAATGCAATGTCAATCGCTATCTACTGTCCTCCTGATTACTCTTTCCTCTTCCCACTCAT